AGTTCTTCCAGACTTCTGTCCGTTATTTGGGACATATTGTGTCCAGGGATGGCGTGAGTACTGATCCTGAAAAGGTCCAAGCTCTAAAAACCTGGCCAAGACCACAGACTTTAAGAGAACTTCAGTCCTTCTTAGGATTCACTGGTTATTACCGCCGATTTGTGAAGGACTACTCGAAGATCGTCAGACCCCTCACCTGCCTCACCGCTGGCTATCCACCACGGCGTAAGGGGTATAAGGCTAAAGTGTGTGATGGTCAGTATCTAAATCCCAAAGAACCATTTGGGGAACGTTGGAATCCTGCATGTCAAAGAGCATTTCAGGCTATAATTGAAAAACTGACATCCTCTCCAGTTCTTGCTTATGCTGATCCTAAATTACTGTACCTTCTGCACACTGATGCCAGCATGACGGGATTAGGAGCTGCCCTATACCAGGAACATGATGGGAAAACCCATGTGATTGCTTATGCAAGCCGAGGTTTATCTCGGAGTGAATCTAGATATCCAGCACACAAGCTTGAGTTTCTTGCCCTTAAATGGGCCATCACAGAAAAATTTCAGGATTATCTATATGGAAACACCTTTAGTGTGGTCACAGACAATAATCCCTTAACCTACATACTTACAACAGCTAAGCTGGATGCTGCAGGGTACCGTTGGCTTGCTGCATTGTCCACATACGATTTTAGTATCAGGTACCGATCTGGCAAACACAACATGGATGCTGATGGATTATCTAGAAGGCCTCACAATACACTGGTCGATGACATCACCTCACAGGAGGAAAGCCAACGTATTGATCGGTTCAAGTCACATTTGCTTTCATCCATGGAGAGTATAGAACCACAGTCTCTTGCAGCAGATGTTGTCCAAGCTGTTTGTCAGAAGCACGCCATTCTTGGTCAAGAGCAGTCTTTTGCTCTGGTTGAGTCCCTTGCTTTATCAACAGCTGTGATTCCTGCTGCATTTGAGGATGAAGCTATGAGTAGTGGTCTTCTGACTGTGCCCAAGTACAGCCATAATGACTTGGGTCAGATGCAAAAAGATGATCCTGTCATCGGCAGAGTCATCCACTTGATGGAAGCAGAGGACAGCCCTTCTACGAATCTTAAGGCAGATTCACCTGAATTTCAGTTGATCTTAAAAGAATGGAAACGTTTTGAAATTCGAGGTGGCGTCTTGTATCGTAAACGGATCTGTGAAGGAGGAGTTTCATACCAACTTGTACTCCCTGAAGTTCTTCGATCCTCTGTGCTCCAAAATCTCCATGATGATATGGGTCATTTGGGGATTGAACGTACCCTTGACTTGGTGAGATGGAGGTTTTATTGGCCGCGAATGGCTGCAGCGGTTGAGAGAAAAGTGAAGACTTGTGAGCGTTGTGTTCGCAGGAAGGCTAGGCCTGGGAAAGCTGCTCCCCTTGTCAATATTCAGACCACCAGACCAATGGAACTAGTCTGTATGGACTTCCTCTCGATAGAACCAGATAGCCGGAACACTAAGGATATTCTTGTAATAACCGACCACTTCACTAAGTATGCTGTGGCCATACCGACGAGGGATCAGAAGGCTAGTACCGTGGCAAAGTGCCTGTGGGAACATTTCCTGGTTCACTATGGTTTTCCTGAAAAACTACATAGTGACCAGGGACGGGATTTTGAATCTCACACAATTAGGGTATTGTGCTCTCTGTTAGGCATACGGAAGACCAGGACTAGTCCTTATCACCCTCAAGGGAACCCGGTGGAGCGATACAACAGAACTCTCCTTAGTATGTTGGGCACTCTGAAAGACAAAGAAAAGACACATTGGCGTGACTATGTGAAGCCACTCACTCATGCTTATAATTGTACAAAAAATGATGTCACAGGCTTTTCTTCTTATGAATTGATGTTTGGGAGGCAACCTAGATTGCCTATAGATGTAGCCTTTGGACTTCCAGTGGGTGACAAACAGCCCCACTCACACTCCCAGTATGTTCGGAATTTGAGAAGCCATCTTGAGGAGAGCTACCAAATAGCAATAGAGAACGCTCACAAGGTGGCTGAGAAGAACAAGAGGAGGGTTGATAAGAGTGTTCGTGAGTCAACCTTGGGTGTGGGGGATCGGGTCTTAGTCCGTAACCTCCGTCTCAGGAATAAGCACAAACTTGCTGATCACTGGGAGCCCACCATTTATGTTGTTACCAAACGAATGGGAGACCTACCTGTTTACGCTCTGAGACCTGAGAAGGGAGGTGGGCCGCTGCGGACACTACACAGGGATCTTCTGCTTCCCTGTGGATTTCTTCCAGAGGCACAGTACAACGAACCTGAGCCGGTCATTAATCATCAGAGACCGAAAACAAGGAGTACTCCAGTCTTGGCAGAAGAGAATTATTCTGTTCAGGTAGAAGATGATGATGACGACTATCATCACTTTGACATTCCGGTGAGTACAAAAGAGAGACGTTTCATCACACATTATGACATTCCACAAGGGGACCCAGCGAATGAGGACTTAAGGCTGAGCGAGTCCAAGGAGCCACCTCGCCCGGTTTCACACAACCCAGACTTTGTGGAACCTGGTTTTACTCAGTCAGCTTTGGATGAGGATTTGCCTCAGTCTACTTCCAGTAATGGGCTTAAAGGTAGGCACCTTGAACCTTCTCGCCATCTTGCAAAGGAAATTGGGTTTCACTCACCTGATGCAGGACAGAGGAACCAGTATGCTAAATTGCCTGCTGTGAATTTAGCTGAGAATTTGCATGAATCTATTTTAAGTAAGGAATCATTCAGTGAGTCTGGTAAACTTTTGAGTCCATCTATCGAAGAAAGAGAGTCATGCTTCTCTAACGTGGAACCTGGAAACCTTACTACCAGCCCAACTGAATCAGTCTCTACTGGTGATTCTGACAAGAATGGAGGAGCTGTCCATCTACCTTCAGGATCCTCTCCTTACATCAATGATGCATCTGCTCATTTAACTGATTCGCTTGTGGATGATACAGTAAGACCACAAAACCAAAATTACTCTGAAAGACAAGTGAAAGATAAAGTTGACGAGCAAATGACAACTGGAGTGGGTCCACCACATAGGAGGTCCCTTAGACATCGAGAGCCTTCCCGAAGGCTTGAGTATCCAACATTAGGAAACCCCTTAGTCACAGTGGTAAAGTCTTTATTTCAAGGCCTAAGTGCAGCTTTTATCAGCTCACTGAACAGTGATGATAGTGGTCACTTGTTGTATACATTGGAACTGCCCATCACTGAGCAACCTTGTGCCATGCAACAGGATGTGCATGACATTTAAAGGGGGAGGGTGTAACCCAGTAGGAACACCTGTGTTGCATAAAATAGATAAGGATATATTCATTATTTGGAAGAGGTTTTAGTTTGTGCATAGTTTAAAGTTGTATATTTTTTTTATTTCGTTTAGGGGAGCTTAATTGGGTTTTGTTAGTTGGACAGTTTATGTGGCGCTATTCCCTTAAAAAAACAAAAACACTCTAGCTCCGCCCCCTTAAGATGAAAAAAACCCAGGGTGAAGCAGGAAAAGAGAGCGCAGAAAGAAAAGCGGGTTGCTGGCGGGAAAGGAGCCAGCCAGCATCAGAGTTTTGCGATTTGACTATAGTTTAAGCACATCATTTTATTTTATTTTTTTTTTGCAACAAAAATGCTGGGGATGCTTACTTGGAGTCTTGGTGAGTAATTTTTTAGTTAGTAAGTGTACCTAATGCTAGGTAGTAGATTCGTAGCAAGATGCTGATTTATTAGTTTTATCATTTTCGTTTCACTGTAATGGTATATGGTTTATTCATCGTGATTATGCTTTGTTAAAGCCATTCAACTGAGGTTGTTGATCTGTACATGTTATGCAAATGAATGTCTATCGGCGAGCAATGGAGGTGTAGTTGTTAGCTTACAGGTTAACTGCTGGCCTGGTATTAGGGTGACGTCCTACTTTGTTCGTCACTGTAGTCATTTTTTTTCACGAACAATGTTGTATTTTGGAGTTTTATAATTGAACTAGGGTTAAGAACCTTTGTGGATTTTACATTGTTAAACTCTGAACCGGTATGTTGGAAGATGGCTAATACGAGTTAAGCAGATAAACCCTGCTAAAATTCAGCCTCATGTTAGAAGAGGGAGTGAGGAAATATCTATATGTATGTATATGTATATTTTATGATTAAGATTATATAATCACAATAAATGATTATAGAGACTTAAAGATCACACTTTATGATCAATGTTTAACATTACTATACATTGAATTTGATGTATGAAAGTATGCTGATGCAGTTATGGTGAGTTTTTGTAATATTAGTCTTGTAAATATGCAGGCTAGGTTTTTTTGGGATCCGGAAGAGCCCATAATTTGGATTCTCTCCTTGAGGAAGGAGATGGCGAGCCAACCACCGAGGAATATTTAAAGAGAAGAAGTGCTTGTGGATTCTTCTTACCCCGACCCCGTCGGTCTGGTAGGATTGTGGGTGCCACCCAGACTATTGTGGAAAAAAGAGGAAAGAGAGCTCTCGTCTTGACAGTCACACACCAGGATTATTCGACTGGGGTGTTGGTGTTCCATTTTTCCCATTTTATTTTGAAATGCCGGCTTAAATCTAAATTGTGTATGTCTTTGAGATGCTGAATTATTATTTCTTTGTGTCTTGTAAATATACTACTTGAGGTTAACCAAGACCCTTGCTACTCATTGTGTTTGACGCTCAAATCTTAACCCCTCCCTACAAACCTAGATACTGGTCCACTGCAATCTACCTGCATAATCGGGTTGTTCCCATTGGTAGCGGGTTACAATTGCAATACCAAACCTGTTAGCCAACGTTAGCTAAACTAGCTAGCTAGCTGGTTTTTAGGCTACAGAGGCAAACGACTCACGGATGTATTATAAGAAGTAAAACACATCCATGGGTGAACTTAATGCTAGACCGTTATCCCAACGAGTGTAGTAGTACAAATTTTATAAATGAAACGTTACTGAAAAAGTTCTACTTACGCAAGTAGAATCCAGTCAAAACCTGCTTGTTCGCTCGGTCTCCTTCCAACGGTTACAGGACAGACGTGACCACATGAGGTCAGTGAGGGGGGAAGTAGGTGCAGACCATATAGGTTTGTGTAGAACTTGTGAAAAGTGATAATGACATACATTATAAGCGGATATTAGAACTATAAATGATATGGTAATTACTACACATTTTGTTGCCCCCCTTTTGAATCGCATTATTATGCAAATTAATTCAAGTTTTTGTGTATCCCATCCCCCCTCCGAATTTGGTAATGGCCTCCAGCACCCGTATGAGCCCGCCAACAATAACGTAAAGTTGGGAATATTCCGGATCAAAGCAGTTTAGGTATGTGTCTCTGCTCCTATTAAGTGGATTTACCATTTCGACTACTTTCTCCTGCTGTCTTGGCTTTATTAATATAGGCTCGTTAACGTGTGTGTCGCTGTGCTAACAGGACTTGACTTTGCCATAAGTGAAGATATTCACTGGGCTAAAACATTGACTCTCGGCACTCATCTGGCAGCCATTTTTTCTGTTTTGGCGGAACAACATGGCCTGTTGGAGGTGTTTGATTTGCTTTGTTTTTGTTGCCTTAACATTGAAGTCTCTCTTGAGCCATATTAACACAACACATAGCCGCAATCCAGATTTCCATGTTATATGCAGAATTGATGGTTGTACCGAGGAATACAGAGTCTTCAACTCTTTGTACTACCATATCAAACGGAGTCATGCACTGTATCTTGCGACTGGGAACCCACCTACTGGATGGATGACAACAACTACAGTTAACTTATCACATGTTGGAGGTGAACATTTTGACATACCAATTTTTTCTGACTGCGCCACTAAAACACGAGGAATGCAAAGGACAGAGCCAGTCAACACACCTGTTACTCCAAATGAAATGTCAATGACGGAGTTTGAGGATTTCCATAGTCCACATACTGAAAACCAGGTAGGATGCAATGTTGGCTCTCTTGAAAGATAATAATTAACACCTAAACACTTGATGTGAACCAGTCTGTTTATATTGTATTTTAATGTCTGTTAACACAATATATCTACAGGAAGGATTTGGTGCGTCAAGTGAAAATCTTATGAGACGCGCAGCTGCGTTTACCATCAATGTCCGGGAAAGATGTCACCTGTCCCAGGTATTGCACAAACCTAACTCAGTGTTAATCTTAGTATGCAAGGAAGTGGAATAATCATCATGTGTCTATATATATCTATAAAGAACAACAGCCTTATATTTTGTGACAGGAATACACAAACACAAAAAAAACTCATTACATTCTACTTCAATCTTTCTCAAAACTAAATGTTTTTTTTAATTTGTGTAATTCTGACTTTTGAATTCTGAGCAAGAACTGTACAGTAACCATTTTGGTATGAAATCTTGTTCAGATGGTTCTTAAAAAGGGTAATGCTATCCATATTATACAAACTGTATGTTTCTTCTTATACTACTTTCTTGTTTATGTTTCAGAGGAGTATCAACAGTTTTGTCTCTGGAGTCCAGCAGTATCAAACTGCTCTTCTCACTACCATGAGGGACACCTTGAAGAGGATCTTTGAAAGACATTCAGACAGCATGCAGCTACAAGAGGAAGCATTGGCAGAATTGGATAACTTTCAAGATCCTTTCTCCACGATGGCAACCAAATACAATCAGAACAGCACCATTCAGAGACTTTTCAACCCAGTTAAACCAGAGGAGGTAGTTCTGTCTCAAAAGGTTTGTAGGGTTAAAAAAGGACAAACAAGAGTTCTTGCAATCAAAAACAGAAGCTTTTACTATATTCCCCTTATTAAGAGTCTTGAACAGTTGTTATCCAACTCCAGGATTTTTGATATGATCAACAACACACCACAGAGTTGTCACAAAGATGGGTTTTTGTATGACATTATTGATGGAAGCCTTTTTTTATCCCACCCACTGTATTCAGCAAAACCTTCTGCTTTGCAGATAATCTTGTATGCTGATGAAATAGAGATATGCAATCCCCTTGGGTCACATGCTTCAGTAAATAAACTACTGATGTTTTATTATACTTTAGGAAACATAGACCCCAAGTTTAGGTCAAAGCTTGCTGCAATCAGGCTTCTTGCTATTGCAAAAGCAGGTGATATTGACAAGTCTGGTGTTGATGTTGTATTACAAAGAATTGATGAGGACTTAAAGATGCTGTATAATGGTGTCAAAATCCAAAGACAAAGTGGTGGAATGGATTTATTTGGTGCTGTAGTTTCAGTTTGTGGTGACACACTTGCACAACATGAGCTTGCTGGTTTCAAGGAAGGAGTTGGTTTCGCATATAGTAAGTGTAGGCATTGCGAATGTACTTTTGAGGAAATGCAAGTGAATTTTGATGAACAAAGTTTTACTAAAAGGACAATGGCAAAACATATTAAACAGTGCTGTGACATAGAAAAGGCTAGCACAGACTTCGTGAAATCAGCTCTTAAAACCACCTATGGTATAAATAGAAGAAGCAAGCTGATTGATTTCCCAGCCTTTGACATCATTCGCAAACACCACAGGATATAATGCATGTCATTCTTGAGGGTGTTGCACCCATGGAAATTAAGTGTGTGTTAAAATACCTTGTTCTCTCTGGGCAGATGGAGTTGAATGTGTTCAATTCAGCCATGCAGAATTTTCCTTTGTCACCGATAGACATACGTGACAAACCCTGCCCTATCAGTGTCAGTACCTTGGCATCTAATGACAATAAACTTAAACAGTCCTCAGGGCAAATGCTGATATTGTTGAAGATCATGCCTTTTCTTCTCAACGCTATAGAGAAAAATGAATATGTTCAGTTTGTTTTGGACTTAATTGAGATAGTTAAGATAAGTTAACTTTTTGCCCCTGTTTTATCTGTACAGAGTGTGTTAAAACTAAAAAAATATGATTGAACAGCATTTGAAACAGTTTAAGCAACTTTTTCCTGACAATAATGTAATACCTAAACAACATTACTTGCTGCATCTCCCTGCTCAAATTCTTTATCTCGGCCCTTTGATAAGGCACATGTGCATGAGATTTGAATCAAAACACAGTTTTTTTTAAACAGTGGTCATGCAAATTGAACTTCAGAAATGTCTGTAAGTCGCTTGTGAACCACAATCAGCATTTTGAATGCTGTCAAAATGAAATGGGTACTGAGCATCCAATTTTTGTACATGAGAAAGAATTAGGTCCTGTCTCTGAAGTGACAAATCTCGAGTACATTACAGCAAAGATTAGAGATTTCTTGGGGATTTGTGGCATACAACATGGAGTCAAAGTAAAGTGGCTTATTCTCAATGGGAACAAGTACATAAGTGAAAGATCTCTAATAATCACCAATGCGAATGAAACCATTCCTGTCTTTGGACTTATAAAAAACATTTATGTGGTTGACAGTTCATTATACTGTTTTGAATATCAGTCTTATGACACCATGGGCTGGAATAGAGATCTTTTAGCCTATGAAATTGCAGTGCCTAATCTTGCTCAAGCAACTGAGTTTATAGATGCTGAGAAGCTAGTTGATCATACATCATATTATCCAGTCACTTTCAAGAGTAGTGTCTATGTTCTGACAAAATATGACCTTGATGATGTCATTGCACTCAAAAGTTGAAATTAATAACCATACTTAA